CAATATTTATATTGTTCTGTATGAACATATGGGCTAATAGCAACTAAGGGACACATTAAAGACAGTTTCAATGGTGAAATTTAGAGAATTGCTTATTGCATTCATGGTAGTGCTCACACACTCTAGTGAAAATATAAAAATGTTTTTAAAATATGAAAATATATTTTCGAACGCCCTAAAAATTCACACCTTATTCATTCGTAAGTGAGCCACATTCTTATTTTGTTAAAAATTAATACGGAGACGCAGCCCCGTAAAAAAATACAGAAATATATCTCTAGACAGATTTTGAGTCAAATACGCGTTAGACGTTCTCCTTTCTCATTTTCAACAAAACATCCTCTAAGCCAAAGCAAAATGTGTGTGGGAGAACCACTAAGAGTGCAATAAGTAATTCTCAAATCCACCATGTTGTTAGTCATCCCCAAATGCACCATTTTTCAACCTTGCTCAAATTTTATATTGCATTGTCCCTAATCCAAGAGTTTTATCAATCAATATATTCAAGTTCATTCAATCAAAGAGCTTCCACTTCTAAGCTTTGTTCATTTCTCTCTCTTTTTATTTTTTTATTTGTGATGTATGTATTACTAAATAGGTACATTATGTTGTTTAAGATACAATACTAAATAAGTAGTTATACTCATAGTTTGGTAGTTTATTGAGGCATGTGTTTTCTACCATTTTTGCATTCCCTGCATTTTCTGCCATTTTTTCATTTTCTATGTTTTAGAAAAATACAGAAAATACACTTTCTTATTTTTTTAATTTGATTTTTTAGGAATACGGAAGTGCATTTCCGTATTTTTCCTGCATTGTTTGATTTTGAATGTCTTTCATATGTGTTTGATTTTTTTTCCTACTTTGTCTAGTTTAATAATAGGTAAAATTGTTGGCAACCAATAGCGATTAAGGCATTGTAGTGTCTCAACATGCATCTGTTTATTGAGTGAGAGAGAGAGAGAGAGAGCATGACCCTCACGTCCACCGGTTGATGTCAGGTCATTTCATGCGTAAGTATCCACTTCTGAACTTCAGGTGTCTCCAACTTTGACTTCCTAGAGGCAAGTGTCACCTCCTGCTGACCCATAAGCCCTACCTATCCATGTTGATGCACATGCCGCTGATACTTTTGTTTATGATCGTTCATGAGGTTTTAAGAGAAGACCCTTATGATACTTAATTACTTTCTATGTATGCAAACCATGTTGCTAGGCACGTGTGGGATGTAGAGGTAAATGCATCAATCATGGTAAGAAGACTTCAAAGCTACAACAAGCTGGGGAGAAATGGTTTCATGATGTCATGCAGCTATCTAGACGGCAAAATTTATGGATGACTGGTTATATTATTTTTAACTATGGTATGCTGTTAGCTTTCGTGGAGAGATGACACTTAGATACCACATATTTTAATCTTTGGGTTTTACTCTCTGTCTGTTTGATAATGTCAAAAAGAGGGAGAAGATGTATGATTGTTTTTTGTTTATTTTTCAGGATGCCAAAAACAAATCATAAATTGCAAAATAAAGAGGGAAATATACAAGATAGGGGGAGCATCAAGTATTAAACAAAAACTTTCCATTAATATATTTTGTCATCATAAAAAAAGGAGGAGATTGTGAAGAAGATATTCATCATCTATCTTAGTTTAGTTTTTGATGAAGACAAAATCTTATCAAAGAAGAAAAAGTTTGAAGTTTAACTCAATCAAATATCAAGAGCGCGTAAGCTATTGGATGTTTTGGATTTAAAGAAATTGATCTTGATGTTAAAGTACTTAATTGCAACTCATTTTGTATAAACTTTAGATTCTTAGAAAAACTCTTATTTATTCACCTCTAAAGTTTCTAATCATTCATGCATCAAAACCACTCAGTTCAAGCATATCCAAAGCATACTTTTCAAATTTTATAATTTGATAACTGGTTACATAAATCAAGTAATCGGTTACAGATTCATTTTGTTTGAAATTTTTTAAAATGTTATGCACTTTTTATTTCAAGTAACTAGTTACCTGGTTTAAGAAACCGATTACATAACCCTTGTTATTTGAAATTTGAAAGTTGTTATGCACTTTTTAAATCAGATAACAATTTACCTGATTTAATAAACCTGGTACATAATGCATAATTCTGTCATTTCATTAACTATTGTCATTTTAAACCATTGCAAACCTTCATGAAAAATATCTCAAACTTATGTATCCATTCATAGAGGTTTCTTAAGATGTATTTAATGTTAGATACATCAGATTTTCAAATAACCTCTTTCATTCAAATTTCAAAAAACAATTCAAATCTTTTCTAGTCTTCATACATAAAAAACATTGAAACTTTTTTTGCATAAACTTTCATATCATTGCAAAAGTTTCATTAAAATTTATGAGTACTTAAGGTTATCTCGAGATTCATTAAACTTTCATATCATTGCAAACTTTATCTCGAGATTCATTCAAGATTCATATTTATAGGTTTATTCAAAAGTGTGTTGCAACTTAATTCACCAAGGTTGTGGTGAAAAGTTATTGTTTTTTTTTTGTTGTAAAATATCATTTGAATTGATGTAATTCAAAATCCACCATAGTGTCTGATGTCTGTGAAAAGGTTCTTTGAATTTAGTCGATTCAAAATCCACCATAGGTTTGGTATTTATGCTAGAAGATTGTAAGAGAGGACTTGGTGTAAGACTTATATAAAGATCTAACATAGTGGAAAATCCATCAAGGTGTGAAGGGATTAGATGTACCCTTGGATGATATTGGGAACTAGGATAATTGTCTTGTGTCATTTACATTTTAGTTTTCTGCACTTTATATTGCTAAGAACATATCATTATCATATTGGAAGAAAATTAAAAAAATAGCGCAAAATCGAGAAAAATCAGTCAACCTTAATTCACATCCCTTCTTAGATTGCATCTTATACTTATAATTGGCATCAAAGCGGGTAAAGATAACTTGTTCCTAGATCCGGATAAAAATTTATTCCACAAATTCATTTTTAGCTGATGGTTGTAGCATCAACAAACCACCATTTTCAATGGTGAATATTATGATTTTTGAAATATTCTGATGCAAATTTTTTTTAGAAACACAAGAAGCTGAAATATAGAATATTGTCAAGGATGGATCCTTTATTCCTACAAGTTTTATAAATGGTGTAGGTCAACAAAAAGTGAACAGATCATGTACAAAATAATTTGTATTTGAACCTTTACTAGTGAGACTCATTAGGTAACAATAGCCTTTCAAAAGCTCTTAGTGCTTTTAGTTAATTCATACCACAATTCTCTCCTTCAAGCGAAAGCTCTTTCATCCACACACTTGTACCGCCATTCAGAGACGCCCTTATCTCATCATGGGCACTTCAACGAAACACGTCACCTGACCAGCATGTCAGAAAGACTTTCAACACAAGGAGTCAGTCCCTTACTCGAACCGGGCTCTGATACCACTGATGAGTCATCATGAAGGGGAAGCATACACATTAGGTTAAACAATCACCCAAACAAGTGAGAGAGACACCACATATTGACCCAAAACCTTAAGGTGATATGTGTATGGGTCCTCTTACTTATAAAGTGCTTAACCTCCAATTTTCTAAGCAATGTGGGACATAGAACTCACACTTGTTTCTCCACACAACTCAAACTTATTTCTCAACAAGGTTGTGGTGAAAAGTTGTTTTTTTTGTAAAAGGTTATTTCAATTGATGTAATTCAAAGTCCACCATAGTGTTTGATGTTTGTGAAAAGGTTCTTTGAATTTAGTTAATTAAAAATCCACCATGGGTTTGGTGTTTACGTTAGAAGATTGTAAGATAGAACTTGGTGTAAGACTTGTACAAAGATCTAACATAGTGGAAAATCCTTTAAAGTGTGAAGGGATTAGATGTACCCTTAGATGATAATGGGAATTAGAATAATTAATTGTCTTGTGTCATTTGCATTTTAATTTTCTTCACCTTATATTGCTAAGAACATACCATTATCATATCGGAAGAAAATCAAGAAAATAGCGCAAAATCGAGAAAGTCAAGCAACCTTAATTCACATCCCCTCTTAGATTGCATCTCATACTTACATTTGGCATTAGAGTAGATTAAGATAACTTGCTCCTAGATTCGGATAAAAAATTATTCCACAAAACCATTCTTTGCAGATGGTTGTAGCACCAACAACCCACCATTTTTCGATGGTGAATGTTATGATTTTTGAAAAATTCTGATGCATATGTTTTTAGAAACACAAGAAGCTGAAATATAGAATGGTGTCAAGGATGGATCCTTCTTTCCTACAAGTTTTATAAATAGTGTAGGTCAACCAAAAGTGAAAACATCATGTATAAAATTATTTGTATTTGAACCTTTACTAGTGAGACTCATTAGATAATGCACCCTTTTGTTTTGGTCTTTTTTAAAAATAATTTTTATAGTGTAACATATTTTGGCGTAAAAATTGTTTACAAAGAAACTTTTCATGAAAGGTTCAAATGAAAATTTGGTTTGAATAATTATTCTTAAAATGTTATTTTATGTATTTTATCATTTTATTGAAACTTTTTTTTGGATGTCAAAATTAAAAAAAAATCACTTAATTTTAAAACTATTTCAAATAGTTTTTCATAAAAATCATTTTTGAGATACAACTGTTTGAAAAAATAAATTAAAAAAAAATTGTAATATTTTAAAAAACATTTTTGTAGAATTTATTTAAAAAATTTTTTAAAAAAATCTATATTTTTAAAGGTAAAACAAAGTGGCTCTATAATAGCCTATAAAAAACTATTAATGCTTTTAGTTTATTCATATTGCATTATATACCTAGTTTTCACTCATAATTAACAGCAACTAGTTTAATAACAAACCAACAAACATTATTTTATTCCAGCAATCTTTACATTCCATTACAAGCTTGTTATTTTCATCAAACCACATTGGAAAAAAAAATCATAATCATAAATGCATATCATTTCAACAACATAATACCACTTCTTGAGGCTTACAAGTCAATTGATATCACCAATGAAGAATCACCCTTATCAACAAAAAATGTCTTGGAAGTTGCCTTTTCCAATGTAACAACTTCCACATCATACATACCACTGAATCCTCTGAAGTTGAATTCTCCTTGTTCATCAACATGGCCATGACTGTGAGATAACCACTCTTGTTTAAGATCAATGAACCTTCTCCCGGCTTCATTGATTTCACCTTCTGCATTAACCAAATGCGCGTTGTCGCGGCTCATAAACAGTTCCCAAAATCCCCATAGCATTACACCGTCTACAGACGGGTGAGCCATAGCTTCGCGCAACATAACCTCCAAATCATCGCCTCGAATATATTCATTAGTGGAAGACACGTCAAGCTCGGTGAACCAGATTGGTAGACCGATAGTAGCAAGTTTATCGAGCGCAGAACAAACAATAGGCCCGATAGGACTATCAATGTGACCCTGAATTCCGATTCCACCAACCGGGGCGCCTTGGTCTTGCAAGTCAAGAATCTGTTGCATGTATTTTTCTGGAGACGAATTTGTGTCACATCCATCTTCGACGTGATAGTCATTCACGAATAGGTTAGCAGATGGATCGACTTGATGCGCAGTCTTGAACATGTTTTCCCTTATATCCTTACCTAGTCTGTCTTGATAAAATGAACCATGCAACATTTCATTGTTAACATCATAGTGCTTGAACTTGCCTTTGTAGCGAGTTAATAATCCGTTTAAGCGATTTTGAACTGCTGTCAATAAGTCGTTTTTGTTAAGTGATTTGACCCATTGTTGAACATTACTATCCACTTCCCAGAAGATGCAATGCCCGCGAATGTCGATCTTGTATTTTTGACACAAGTCTAACATATCATCAGCATCTTTGTAGTTGAAATTCCCTTTTTGTGGCTCTGTCCAAAACCATTTCAACTCGTTACCAAATACAGCCCAGTTAAAATGTTGCACAAAGAAGTCTACAAAATCTTCGTTGTCGATATTTGTTCGGGTGATGCATGATCCAATTGGAAAATCATTCTCTATCTGTTTAACTTTCACAAATGCATACTCGCATGTGTCCACACCAGAAAATTTTAATGTAACATCACGCTTACGAATCTGTAGACAGATAGACAGACAGATGAATATTTAACTTGAGAATTGCGTATGATGTAAATAAACCTAGATGTTATAATGTTACCTTGTCCGTCTGCTTCCTTAAATATCGAAACCTTGCCTCTCTATCGACAGGAAAAATTTGAAGTCCAGCAACCATTAAGTCGACACCAGAAACAGGACCTTGAATATAAACAAAAACATTAGATGGCTGTTTTTCGATTCTAAATGAACCGCCGATTTCATGCCATCTGCTATCAGCCACTTCAGTTTGTCCTCCATTGACCCACTGGCCGTCAACACTAAGGGAAACACCCACATTCTGAGGGCCATGTGATCCGGAACTTGTCCGGACCCAAGCAGATACTTGATAAGTTAAATAGAGTTTCAATTTCTCGGTAATCGTCTGAGTAGGACCCATCCATGTTTGCGTGCGGTTGGTTACAAGAATGTAGCGTCCGCTCAGGGATTCATGAGGGCCGAGAGAGTCTCTTGCCATTGGTGGAATTACACGCGGTGAACCAGTTCCAACGCTCAAAGTACAATTACCAAGAGGAGACCAGCCGTTCGTGCCATTATCCAGATTGCTGTTCTCGATTATATTAACGCCGAAAGCAACATTCTGGAAAACAAATACAATCTTCAGTTGCTTGAAGCATAAGTAATTGGCCATACAACAAAAGTATATCAACGCAACCGTTAAGTTTTAAAATTTCATGATTAATGCCGAATGCGTAAAGAGAAACTAAAGTAATCTGCATAAAATATGATGAAAGCTCAACCTCGAAATCTGGGGGTGGCGAAGGTGGTGTTTTCGCAGCATGCTTTATAACCAAAGTATTTAGAAGAATGTCAGTGCCTGCAGCAGGGCCTTCAAAATAAACAATAACTTTTGAGGGAGAATCATTTAGAAGAAACTTTCCTTGCATTTGAGTCCAGTCTTTATTTGTCGCCTGCACACTTTAGTAAACAAAAACTCGGTTCAGCGATTTTAAGATATGCTAAGGGAGCATTCGAATATTAGAAGTGATGGAGATACTAACTTGGCAATGCCTATATACTGCTCTCGAAGATCTGCTTTTTGAACATACAATGTAACACGAAGATCAGAAGTACTGACATTGTTGCCAAATATCCGAACTAATGCAGTGACTTCATACGCAAGTTTGCGCTGCACTCGTCCAGTGATCTCTTGCTGAATTCCATTCCAGCTTTGTGTGCGCTCGGTTGCAACTGCAAAGAATTTCCCGGATTTCGGAAGGATTTTTCCATCTCCCATGGAATCGTGCAACGCAATCTTGCAGCCTCTTCCAGTCCAGTTATTCAGGCCATCCTCAAACTGAGGATTTAGTATGATGTTTTCTTCGTCAGCGGAAACACATACCGCGTTTATTGCCTCCTGAAATAAAAGGAAAATGCATCAAAAATTGACGAGTAATACGGTTTAACCGAATGCAAACACGAATAGTGCCTGATTCGTTTCATTTTAGTTAATACAGTTAACAAGACAACATAAACATACGAAAAGTTGTTAAATACTGAAGGATAGATAATAGAAAAGCATGCCTCTGAGTCTGAAAGGTTTCCAGCATCGACCTTCTCCGAGTTTTCCATATCTTCGCAATACACTTCTAAAGAAAATACAAGAATCAGCCCCAAGACCTTCAATTAATATCATGAAAAAATCAATTCATGGATAAACAAACAATCATTACAAAGAGAACATGCACGTCGAAAACATGTTTCTTACAGTTTAAGAAATAAACCTAGGAATGTAGCTGAGGTATAGAGAATGCTTATGCTTCCGGTGAAAGTGAAAGTTGTAAACTATGTTTGTGAAAAAGAAGGCCTAGAACATCCTCAACATATATAGGCAATGTCTCAGCAAATTTGTGAAGTGAAGGCTAAGAAAAACTGTGGGGCCAATCAACAAGAGAACCATTGTTGAAAATTTTCCTTTGTCAGGATAAACTGTCCAAACAACATGATCAAATTAGTATCCTATCATATTAATAATCCAAACAAAACATAAACAAAGATGATGCCTTTGTATTTTAGCTTTTCTCTCGTATTGCTTTGCATTGCAGATAAGATAAGCAATGCTTGAATTAGAATGGAAGCCTAAAACTCACAGATTGAGGAAGAAAATGCTTTAAAATCTTAATAGTGATTTCTATGAAACTTCAATCACAAGTTTCACAAGAGTTGGGTGAATTAATTAATTTCGGATGCATGTGATAAAGTGACAAACTTACTATAAATTTTATAAATTCAATTTCCTTAGTACACAAGATCAAATTTAGAAACAACCCAAATGCAGAATAAAGCTATAAGAGTAAATGTTTGCCACTAATAACATCATCTTCTATGGTTTGCAAAACTCCTACGGATCTCGTAAATGTTACGTCACATTACCAGTCAGTTATGTAAGTTATACAAATAAACCATTAATATTGAAGTACAAAGGTTACTTAACTTACAAGTTAGGTTAACAATTACTCCGTTAATGGTGAATGTGAGAAAGAAAGAATAGCTGCATTTTACCTAAATGTTTGTGATGAAACACAAAACCAAACACTGAGGTGCAGCGAGAGATATGAATGGAGGGAGAAGGAAGCATGTGGCATTCCATTGTTTCAAAATATTATGGTTAAGAGAAAAATGCCAAACAGATTATTTTAATCTCTCTTCTCGTCGGAGAAAACGCTCATTTCTAATATCTTCGTTTCATGTTCTTGACATTCGTTTTTTAAATAATAAAAAATTTAATTCTGAAGTTAACGCTGTTTGTTTAACATTTTTTTATAAAATTAATTTAGAGATTCTTCGTTATAATCAGAAAAAAAAATTGTTATTCTTACACCAAAACATACATTACACTATATTTTACTGTTCATTAATACGTTGAACACTGAAATATTATAATAATAAAATAATTTTTTTTAAAAAGTATAAAAAAGAATTTAGATCAAGGAGTACGTGTGATTAACCAACTTCATAACTTTTTTAACCAACATTTTATATTTTATTAACCAACTTTATTTACTACTAAAAATTACTTTTATATCTGGACATTTATTAACCAATTTCATAACTTCATTAACTAACTTTTTACATTTCAGAACTGATCTGACCTGATTAGAAGAGGATCACTGGCTGGCCACACTCTGTTGGACTGCTGTTTGCTCGTCGTTGATGAGGAAGAGAAGGGGGATGTACCTGCAAAACACTCCGATGCCAAAGTGAGAAGTTGGGCAGAGCGATGGCGAAGTACAGAAAAAAGGGGTAAGAAGTGTGTTACCTGACCCTCTTGGGAAAGAAGGTATTTATAGAGAGACCCCAGTGCTGGGCGAACGGTCATTTGAGATGGGCTGGATGACCAGGCCCAACCCTAATGACTGCTAGGGCTTACGTGGCGTAGTGAAGACCAGGACGTGGTCTTCGCCCTAGTCCAACTGCTCCTTGATCTTCGGAAAGTGGGTTTGACCTGCTCTTCCGGAGGTGGGCAGTTGATTGATGACGTGTCCCCGCGGAGGGGAGCACGTGGAGAACGTGCGCCGGGCACGTTGTCCTCCCTGCGGAGGGGAGCTCGCGAGGTTCCCCGAAGCGCGTTGTTCTCCCCGCGGAGGGGAGCACGAGGATGTGGAGGAACCAAAGGTCTCGCTTTGACGCATCGGGGTGTGTCCTGTTCGGCCGATAAGAGAGGACGTTGAGAAGCCGTCGGACGCGTCGCCTATGGCTGGGGGCGTGCCGCCCGTCCTGTGGGACGCGTGTGCCCGGTGTGGCCAGTTCACTTATTGGGCCGTGCGTGGTATTGGGCTAGACCGAGGTTGGGCCCAGACCAGAACAGGAGCCCCCCAAGTCGAAGCTCTGGGAAAGAGCGAGGACTTAAGGTCGCTGTGTCAGGGAGAGAGGTAGCGAAACGGGAGGTTCGTCGGGGTTTTGTGCACGGTGGAACGGGCGCTTGCGCGGGGGTCTCCCGTCGTCGGCGGAGCGGGGTGAAAGCAGGTGAAGGGGCGCGACTGTCAGGTTGCCGCCACGTGTCGCGCGCTAAGCGGTCGTAGGGGCGGCTACCCTATGCCATTAATGAGCCTAGCGTCGCTTCGAATCCCGCACCGGGTTATAAATATGGGGGTCCCCGCTCATTTTTCTACTTTTCATTTTGCTGTTTTACCTGCGAAGCTCTGAGATCCTTGCCCGTCCGCCGTTGCCGTCGATCGCCGCTGCACCGTTTGGTTCTTCCTCCCGTTCTCCGCCGTTACAAGTGAGTTTTTCTTTCTCTTCCCTTTTATTTCTGCCGTTTGATTAGAATGTGTGGTCGGGGCATGACGAATGCCCCGAGGAGGGACGCAAGATCCGTCGTATCTGGCGATTTTCTGATGAATGCCCCGGGGAGAGTCGGTTGTTCCGATGAATGTCCCGAGGACGGGGGCTTTCTCCGATGAATGCCCCGGGGACGCGTGCTTTTTCCGATGAACATCCCGAGGAGGGACGGTGGGTTGGACCTTAGATGCCCCGAGGAGGATTGACGGGGAGCGCCTGTTTGCTCGCCGTTCTCTGGCCTTTGTCGCCCTTTCACTTGACCTGCGGTGGAAGGGTGGATTTGATCTTGGCTATCGAATTCACCGTTGTCCTCTGCTTTTCAGGTGTAGATGTCGGCCTTGGTACCGGGGACGATGGTCGAAGATAACGAACCCGAGGTCCCGGATTTTGACGAGCGTGTCGCCCCGGTCGAGGAATGGGTGGCCGAAGAGCCGCTGTCCACCCCGTCCTGCTTCGTGGCCGATGCGTCCGACGTCTATGCCACCGTCGAGGACACGCCCGAAGGGGAGCCGCAACATTGGCAGGTGTACCGCCCGAAGGAGCACCATCGCATCTGCTCGCGATATGGGCGGCGGATGTTCCCCATGCACGAGTTCTACTTCAAAGAGGCTCGGCTCAGGTTGCCGTTCTCCGCCTTCCACCTGGGGCTCTTCGATTGGTTACGCTTGGTCCCGTCCCAACTGCACCCCAACGCCCTGGCCTTTATCCGTGCCTTCGAGGTGGTATGCTTCTATCTCGAGGTGGAGCCCACGGTGCCGCTGTTCTTTCGCATCTTCCACTTACAGCGCCAGTCGGTGAACGACCGTCAGGGATGGGTCTCGTTTAAGCAGTCAACCAAGCTCTTCAAGACGTACAACGATTCCGTTAAAGATTTCAAAGGTCGGTTCTTCCTCGTGAAACCGATCACTCAGCAAGGCTCGGATACTCTTTTCGCCGAGGGCGAGCGAATGGTAGACGGCCAGCGGTTCCTCGCGTGGCTTCCCAAGATACATCTGTTATGGAATGCGGATCACTTCAACCGAGGCACGAATAGGTATATCGTACGAGCGGGGACCCTCGACGAGAAGGATATGGCCGCTTATATGAAAATAGTTGCCTTTGTGCGGGCTCTTCCCCCGTCGAAACTGGTAACGCCCGATGGTCGGTACATCTTCGACACGCAGGGGAACGTGCGAACCAAAAAGCGGCTGATTAACACTAAGACCCTGCTCGGTTGTGCCACTGGGGCGGCCGCTCTGGATTATCTAGGTAGGGATGTTTCTTTTTTCCCCGTGGTCGGGTGTTCTGGCCGTTGCTAACTCTTTCTTTGTTTTTGCAGCGAACATGACTTCTGTCGAGGAGCGAGTGAAGAAGCTGCGCGCTTCCAAGAATGTCGTGGTCCCGAAGACGCGGGTGAGTCAATTGGTCGGACAGGAGGCTGTGACGCCGGGAGGGCAGAGTTCGTCTTCTTCACCTCAAGGGAGTCAGTCTCCTACGTCTCAAGGAGCAGCGAAGAGGCCAAGACCCGAGGAGCCCAGCGGTTTGATTGATCTGACGGCCGGCTCGGCCGAGGAGGGTTACGTCGTCCCGCCTTGCCATCAGCATCCGGGCTATTTTCATGGTGCTCGATCTCCTACTGTCTCTGCTGGGGAGGTGAAGGCTGTCCGCAAAGCCGATCGAGAGTCTCGTCGACGTATCCTGGCGGAGGATTTGGCTGCGGTGATGCGGACGTTCACGACGGCCCTTGTGCTGAACAAGGAGGGCTGCTCCTCCGCCGAGTTGTCCAAATTGCAGGGGGACCTTACCTTTATGCAGTCGCGTCTGGCCAAGCTTACCGAGGAACTGGAGAAGAGTCAGAAAGATGTTGCTGACCAACGCAAACGAGCGGAGGGCGTTGAGGGGAAAGTGACCTCGCTGGAGGAGAAGCTGGGGGCGGCATCGGCCGAGGTGCAGGCGCTGAAAGTTCGTATGGAGGTCCTGGACAGCGCGCTTCGTCCGGCTGAGGACGAGACAGAGGAGGACCAGCGGTTGATCACCCGTGCTGATCTGGTTGCCCGGATTCGGGTGCTGGAAGGTGATTGTTTGGAGGCTGTCGAGGTCGGGTTCAAGAGCGTTGTCGCGCAGATCCAAGTTGTCAACCCCGGCGTCGCGCTGGTCATGGAAGGGATCGGGCCGTATCACGAGATCGTTGGCGGGAAGGTGGTCGACCCCGAGCTTGTCATTCCCGAGGAGGTCCCCGTGGTTGCTGATCAGGAGGGTGAAGTAGCATAGGTTTCCGGGCCTGCGTGCTCGTTGTTTTTATGGCCTGCGTG